ATATTAAATTATATATTTGCAAAATACTAGCAACTGTTAAACTAGGCAAAATGAAGTTATTAAGAGTACAATTTTTTTATAGCATGTAGGCTGTAATGGAGCTTTTTTGTGTTTACTATGAAATATTTATATTGGAAATATGCTGCTCACAAAAGTTTTGTTTTAATTCAAATTTTTTGTTATACTTTTAAAGTATATCAGTACCTTCATCTGGCTAAGTAGGTTACATCTTAGTGGATGTTAATGATTAATATTAAACGGTTGTCCAACTATTTTAGCAAAACAAGTACAAAATGTAATGTTTTTTGCCATGTCTAGGCTTACAGCTGGCACAGTGTATATATTGTTTATGAATGAATACTGAAAACTTTTAAAATAAGACATTTTATGCAAAATTTGTTATGCAAATTAATGTCAGAATTAGATAATGTGTAAAATATACAATATATAAAATAACACTATGCAACAAATGCTGGGCTCGGTTAGAGAAGTCAATATTCAGTAAAATATTGAATAAGAAATACAGAAATATACTGTCTCTGTATTGTTCATAATTTTATATGCATTCGTGGAATGAAATGATTCTTAAAGATAACATGCTTTATAAGGAAGTCTTAAACAATGGTTTAAATGCCAAAAGTCAGTGAAGTACTGGAAACCAATAGGCATAATTTTTTTTATAAAAGTCAACTTAACTACAAATACTGTTTTAACTCTTCTTCTTAATTTGTAAGAGTTGTGTAAAAATAGAATTTCAGATCTATCTTTTGTCTCCCACAAATTGCTACTCAAAAGCTTTTCGTTCAGTACCAGAACTCATCAGTTGAACGGAATTATGAAAAATAAAATATTCTCTAAAACACCATTTATACATGCAGTACAATACCTTAAAAGTTCAAATGAAATGTGAAAGTCACCGAAGTACTGGAAACTCGCAAGCCTAAAAATTATTGTAAAAATAAAGTTAACTACAGATTTTTTCCTTTTCACATTCCTCTTAATTTGTCTGTTGTAGAATGTGTGGAAAAAAAAGTTCATTTACCTGTAATATATAAAATAACTATTCTGGAAAAGTTGTATTATCAGGGAGTGCAGTAGTGACTCCTATGTAGGTATGGGTCCAGTTCAAAGTGGCAGCCTGTATATTGCGTGTGATAGCACGTGAAGATGAGGAACTGGGGAATATTTGGAATGGGAGGAAATTCTGCATTACCCATTCCTGCATTCCACCACCTAATGTATATATGCATCCACCTTGTGAATGAAATGTACAAGTGATTTTTTCCATCCCTATATCCCAAAAATTTTAGGATAAACATTTTTTTGTTACTAGTTTTTTGAGCAGTAACCTGAAAATGCTAGAAAAATATATATTTCAAACATGTGAAATTAAAAAAAAAAATCACGCTTGCATTAATGAATACTAGCAGAAACACTGCCCTATAGGTGGCTGTTTGTGCTAGTAATAATTACTAATCATAGTATTCATACCTCCTTTAAAAAAAAATTAGAAAAAGAGAACATTTTCTGAAAAAGGATTTTTTTTTCTGGGAAGTACTGCACAGGAAAGGTGTTTAGATTGTACTCTTTAGTCATATGCAACTTATTGCATCAAAATGATTCAATGTACAGAGCTCAAAGATTTCAGAAATTTTACCGATATAAACTGTAATTTTTTTATATATTTAAAGTGGGACAGTATATTTAACAAATAATAATTTTTTTAAGAACTCCAGTTTCTGAGTACGACATTTAAAAATTACATCAATAAAGACACGTACAGCCCTAGTGAAAATCATTCTTGTTGTGGGGAGGATACTTTTATTTAAAATTGTGTTCTATTATAAAGAAATGGTTGTTGCACATACCACAGTCATTTTATTAATTGTCTGACTCTTAAGTATACAAAGTGTGAAATATTTTATGGATATTTGTTTTTGGTGCCATTCAATAGATGGTGCAGGAGATTTGGTTATGTACATAGATAGTAATATACACAAGTTTTAATGGAAGAATGAACAGATATACAGGTAATGGATTGTTCTGGAATTGGGATATTTCATAAAATAATGCACTAAAAGAGCATTTATTTTATAATTGACTTCATTTCAAAACATTTTTGTTATGTAGTTTGCCACTCTGAATGGCTCAACAGTGCATGCCAGTCAGGAAAGGAATAAACAGTAACATATATAGTAACTGATTATATAGAAATAAAGTTTAGATATATTGTTTTCAACCAGAAATGGGTTAGACTTATGGACACAGGTTTGCATCTTTTACACGATCTTTTAACTGTCATGAAGGTATACATACTATAACTTTGACAGTACTCAATGGATCTTCACAAAATTTGGCCAGCTTGTAGTAAACATTAAAACTCTTTTTTTCTAACACAAAAAATCAGATTTTTTATAATTAAATACTTTTACTAAAGGTTTGTCCATGAATATATGGAGTCAGAGTGTTGACTAATCTGAATGCAAGGTGATATTCATGTTAAGATTAAAAATACTTTTCTTCATTTTAAAGTTTTCAAATCTCAAGGTTCTTGTTTTTCAATTAAAACTATAATTTATCTGTTATATTTTCTACCCTAACTATATATGTACTCATAATAGGTAGGCAAAGAACGATTTAAAAGCATAAGGAAAAGCTTTATTGATGGTGGAACATACTACATGTTTCGACAAAACATTGGTCTGTCTTCTTCAGGTATGATCAGTACTAAACAGTAAAAGGTTTATATATTATTACAAAGACAAAAGACACGGATTAAATGTGACAGAAATGGTGTCAGCTGGTGACAGGATATAGGTAGAGGTCAAGTGTATGAATGGTGAATAGACCTTGCCAGGTATGACTGATTTTGCTAGGGCCATTATCACGGTTTAGTGAGAAATTGTTTGCTTTGTTGATTTCTATGGTTTCTAAACAGTCTCTTTCTTTTTTAGTTTTGGGTTGATGTAGGGGAGGAATTTCATCCCAAAGTATTTTGTGGCCTGTTTCATATTGACGATGTGTTAAGATGGATATCTGGAATTCACCTCTATGCATGTGACCTTTGTGTTCTTTGCATCTTATTTTTAAGGAACATGACATATGTCCTATGTATTTCTATCCACATTCACATGGGATACTGTAAATGCCTTGTTTTTGTTCTTTTAATAGGAATTATTTCAGGTTAGATAGTAAGATGTTAATTTTATGTGAAGGTTTGAATACAGTTTTTACACCAGTGCTCAAATTATTAAAAAGGCTAGGAATTTCTGGCACAAAAGAGAATGAAGCAAATTTGTTACATTTTGTGTTGTTGATAGGTGAAATATTAAGAGTTAACATAATGCTTTTCTCAGTTTTGAAGTTTCATACAAGCCCTATCTATGATATTTGGCTTGAAAATGTTAGATAGTGCTATGTTCTTTAGGTAGTTCAATTCAATAAGTAAGTCTTTTTTGTAGGTGCAAAGTTGTATAGCACGACTTACGAAGATGAAGTAGGAGGATATTTTCTGTGATAGGTTGTGATTAGATCTTATGTGTGGTGGCATGGTAATTGTATATACTGGTTGGAGCTTTATGATATGCTCTTTTTACTATTCACATCCTCAAATATATATATATATATATATATATATTAAGTCAATTTGATCAACCTTGTAACCACCACAAAAAGTACAAAATAAATCAAAATTATCCTCTTTTTTTCTTTTTAGAATGACTGTAAATTGTAACAGAAAACTACATCTGTTTCTATTTAATCACATTGTTTTATTGTCCTTTGAACTAATAATCCCACAATAAAAACTGTAAATTACTCTGTAAATGCACAGCTCAAGCTAGGGTATTAGATGGTGTAGTGCACAAGCTACTTGTGATCATACCTCATGGAGAAAGTTTTTATTAATATTTTTCATTATTTTACCTAATTTAACCTAATAAATTTCTAATTTTTACATTTCAGTTACTTTTATAACAACAAATAAAAAAGGTACATAAATTTAGTACTTATGTTAGGCCTTTTTTTTTTTTGCTGTCAGATTGTCGATGAAATTTAAGTCTACTTTTTTGTAATGATGGTAATAATACATTAAATAATTTTTATTTATTTGAAGAATGTACATAAGAACTTAGAATAATAATGTGCACAAAGCAAACAATGTCTTATAAGTATTATAGTTTAACTGGTTTTCCAACTAAGGCATAAATGCTTTAAAATAATTTCCTTATCTACTTGATCTGAACTTGAGGAAGGCAACTTTCAGTCTGTAGGCAAGTTAACTAAAACTCTGTACTGAGAAAAATCTAGCATTATACATCATTTGGTAAATTAAAACTTTATTTTTCTTTTGGTTATAAATGATGTAATAGAAAATATCAGAGAATTATTAGCAATTTGTAAAAGAGAACATGTGACAAGAGGGTCTGATTTTCTAGTTTATGCCTCCTTAAATAAATAAGGCTGAAGGCTATAAAAAATTAGACTTTGGTTAGTAATATCTATAATATAATGAGTGATTTACTTTAAATTCAGGGTATTAGAGAAGAAAGATAACATAAATTGAGGATGAGCAAGACATAGTGAACAAATGTCATGCTTTTCGTACAAGGGGAGATTGAATGTTATTTACATATTTTGTTTTACACTCAAGAAATTAAAACTTATACAGTATTAACATCTGAATTATTAACTATGTTTTAATGCCAAGTTTATTCATATACATTGATAATAAAGTAGTTTAGTTAAATTGTTATTGTAACTGAAAAAGGTCATAACATGCTTTTTGACCTACCAGTAGCGAGAGGGTTAAAGAAATCAGTTGAATTTTATATTCATAAATTAACTGAAATATGAAAATTTTCTTGAGTAAAAATATAAAAAAACATTCTTGAAAATCAATTTTGCCCCTTACAGTTTTGAGCTAATTAGTCTTCATGTAGACAAAAACAAAAATCATTAATATGAAAGTCAGCTCGCTGATAATATGTCATTTATTTAAGATCAAGAAATCCAAAATTGATGTGGAAGGAGACCAGCTGACTGATACTGGCCACAAGGTACCTAGAAAGGTGAGTGTATATTTGACTTTGTGTTGTCATTTCAAAATTAACATTATAAAATCACACTGACATGTAATGTACCCCACAGTGGTAAAATATTCTGGTTATCTATCATCAGTTTTATTTTTGTATG